CGTTTAATGCGTTTACAACACTGCACTTCGCAGAAGTGTCTTTAGCAAGGTGTGGTGTGAGAAAATCGAACAATTCGCTTTTACCAACTTGATAACAATGGAATATAATGTGTTATTAGCTCACTTCATTCAGTTTACTATTACTATTTCAATAATGGTTTAAAATATGTATGTATTCGTGTATTGCTAATTGAATTGTTTACAATATTGTATGAAAACTAACATTTGTTGCGTTCAGAAAATAATGCAGCATTGGCTTGAGATGTGAATACCTGATGAACCTGATTGAAATAACTGAATAATACTCACTGGAACGTACTACTACTAAAACTTAAATATGGATTTATAAAAACTATTAATAAAACTGAGTTTACGCTTGAAACCTGAAATAATATTGTAGGTTTCTGGTTCATGTTCACTTTGCAGCCACTAGACACGTGAGACTTGTGTAAGGATTCATTACAAACCCAAGACCTCGAAAAAACAAAAAAACAAAACAATGAAACAGTTTTGATTTGGAGTGAAAAATGAAAATAATCGATTGTAATTTGCGATTTTCTCGTCCTGTCTGACGCGATAATTTTCCCATACTCAGTGTCTCACTGCTTTCGACCCAGTAGAACGTCATGCTACGACTAAGAAAAACCTTCACTATTCATGTGTTCCATTTCAGAACAGCCGAATTTTTCTGCACCAGAACCAAATTGGCCACACACTCAACAGCAGAATTATTGCAGGTACAGGTCACTAGTTTGGATAATTACTCTAGAATATTAATTTTTTGGTTATGTAATTTGAAAACTTAAATTTTTAAAATTATTTTCTCCTGCCTCTCGCCAGGAGTATGTCGTTAACATGAATATTTTTTCAGGCACAAATTACTAATAGGTGTAATGTTTGAATCATATTGTTACTCTGTTAGTAATCTGAAAAAAATGTGAAAGAGGGATGGAACGTTTTTTCTTATATAAGGGAGTGTTGCAACCGTAGAAAAAGTTCATACAACATTTTTCAATACAGATTTCAGGCGGGAAAATCAATTGCTCTTTGATTTGAAGAATCGTTAAACTTTTGGACTGTTTACAGAATGCATTTGAAGATTTTTTTAATCCATTTATTTCCTCGCAGTATTAGTAAAATTATACGATTCAAACGTCGAACAAAATTGTACAGAAATTTTAACTATTCTGGATGCAAGTTTTGATACATGATACAATCATGACTAGGCTGTGGAATTTGCATATTTGCATTTTTTCCCCTTAAATATAATGATATGCATAAAGCACACAAATTAAATTCGTGTTGTTTAGGATCGATATTTAAGTTCAAAAAATGCACATTTATGATGATTGAGCATATTTTCCGTTTAAGAGCATATATTTGCGAATTTTGCATTGTTATTTTTTTGTCCTTTGTAAAATTCAAACGTGGCTATCGAGTTCACATAATCTCTGTGCGCATAGGGCGGTACAGTTCATTAGGAATTCGATGCGAGATACTTCCGCGCGTCCGTGGAAAATCAGCAGCGCCCCGCCGCGGCATGCTTCGTCCCCTGATTTCCTCTGCTTGAGTTTAGTGAACTGTTTCGTGTCACAACCTCTTGCGAAGGACGAGGCCACGACAAGAGGAGCGCCGGCCGGATGGTGAAGAGATGAATTTAGTTCTCATTGGCTCTGAAATTACGATACCCCTTATTGGAAGTTCGAAATCTGAATGAACTCGACGGTTGTCTGTTTTGGAGTGTTGGTTCAGTTTCTTTGCCGATCTTGGCAAACTTGTGTTGTGTGTTAATTAAATAAATACATTATGCCAAAAAATGGAGCTCGTGTGCTTCCCTTTAGATGGGAAAAATTAATTTTGCTCAAAGCACGTTCACTGTACCAAAAACAGCAAGTGAATCAACATTTGCAAACTGCATCTCATATGAAAAATGCATCGCAAAATACAATTCAACCCCTTCTCGATTTGAGTCCAAATGAAAACGAAAATTGAAAGTTCACTGAGAAGTTATGTGAAGATTGTTGCATCTAATATAGAATGGAGAAAATTGGATAATCCTGTTTTTGTGGTTTTTGAACAAGTACACCAACAGAACAATTCCATATGAGACCAATTTACGAACAACTACAAAATCATATCTCTTATCAAAAAGTACTCACGAAATTAGATGAGACTTAGTAGATACATTTATCTAGCTTTTAATTGATGAAGCAACTGATTCCTGTGAAAGGTATGCATCTATTGTAGTTGTGAGTGAATTGGATTCCAAAGATGCTGAATCTCCTCATTTGATTATATGCAGAGTCGTAGAGAAAACAATCCTTTCTACCATCTACCTCCAAGATCCTTCGTATTTCTGCCGGATAGTGCAGCAAACATGCTGCTGAAAGCAGCGGTAGCTCTTTTAGGGTTCTACCCACAAATACTCCACATTACTTGCATGGTTCATGGCCTACATCGTGCTGCCGAAGAAATTCGATCGCAGCACCCTTAAATTATTAATTTTATTTCTTCAGTTAAAAGAGTTTTTGTCAAAGTTTCGTCGAGAACACAAATATTCAAAGAGAAACGAGAAGAAATTCCCCTTCCCTTAAAGCCTGTTCGATCGTTTTAGATGGGCAACATGGCTCAATGCTGCACTTTTTTACTGGTCACCCATTAAAGCTATTAAGAACGTACTTCGTTTTTATTGAATGCATATGCGATTGTTTTAATTCAGTAATAATGGCTGAAAATGATGCAGGAATCAAAATTGAACTAACATATAGTAGTTCGCACTTCAAAACATTACCTAAAATCATTACCAAGCTTGAATAACGTGATCTACAACTAACTTCTGCAATAAACGTATGCATTCAATGTAGAATGCTGTAGGAATTTCATTCAATAATTCGCCAGGACCAGTAGGGGGAGTCTTACAGTTAGGAGAAAAAAGGAGAAAGAAATCCCGGTTTGAGAACAGTGAAAATGATAAGTGGTATATTACAGGTGAAACGCATGATTTTGAAACTTACACAACTAAAGTAATTGCAGCTTTTAAGTGTTATCCCTTAAACTCATGTCTGTGTATGAGAACATTCTTAAGGATAGCAGAAAACGATTCACCGCACAAAATTTGGAAAAATATTTTACAATCTCTCGTAATAGAAATTAAACTCGTGTTTCATTCAACACAGAAATCAAACTATTTTGTATAGAATAAAACACGCACTATTATCTTTGCATATTTTTCTTTTTAAGATCATATTTTTCTATTTTTAAAGCATATTTTCAGTATTTACAGTGCATATGAACCCACACCCTAAGCGTGACACAAAATGTATTATTGTATACCATTTCGTTAAAAATATCAGAATAAACATTGAGAATGGAAACAAAACCTCGAAGCTAAATGATCAAAATATGAATTTTAAAAATTTAAAGTTCTTAAACGCTTTCTCTGTAAAATATTTAAACTGGCATTATTACTTTATTTGGCATTAAATAAAAAATCAACCATACTGTTGTTTTATAACACTCTCTTGAGCACCACTCCTCTACAAAACTAAAATTTTGATAGTTCAAATGTTAAAGCATTAAAGCAGTTAAATACGAAGATATAAAATATCTACTTCGATTGTTCCATCGTCAAGTCTCAAACTGTGCCTTTAAAACCGCACAATCATTATTCTCTAGAGACAATGCTTACCGTTGATTCCGATTTGCTCATATCGTGTGTATTCATACTTCATTTTTAAAATCAGTAATCATATAGGTATTCGTAAAAATGTCCGCATTTCACCTAACCAACCTGTTTCCTTCTTCTAAGTCTCAAATACTCTATAAACAACGTTCTTAGTTTGCCTGATGATACTACTTCATCATTTAAATATGTTGCTGTGTTGAAAACCATATTTTATTTACACTTCTTCCTAATTCAATCATTTCTAAATCTGCACCTTATTTTTTCATTAAGCATTTTTATTTGGCAAGTCAAATAATAAAAATTACATGTTTCTTAATTGGTAAACAGATCTTTGCACTTCGCAGATAATTTAACTGACAAATAACATATTCGGTCTATATAATTTTTTATCCTCCACCTTTTTATAATGAATCCTAAACAGCAAGATTTCTTCCACACACCCAATATCGATTTATTGGTTTCCTTCTCTTGTCTTATGCTGAAATAATCTATTCGTTTCAAGTGCAGTAATTAAGATACATTTTCAAAATAAACAGTCTATTGATGTAATGGCAAGCAAACTTCGCATTAATTTTGTTTCCTAGGTTTGGCGGATAATATGTATCTTTATTAATTTCGATAATTCTTGTAGTTTGTTTTGAAAATTTTTAAAGTTCTCAACAAATCTAATCAAATAACACAAATTAAATTTTAATTTTCTTTGCTTTTTTAGTTTCATTGCTCTTAGAAGTAATTAAAGTAATGTATGATCAAACCAAGCAATAAAAGACGAATTCATTTTTAACATAAAATTACGTTTTTGTGCCTTTTGGGGAAATGAATTTTATTATCGACGTACACAAATTACCGTTTTTTATTATTCCAATCTTTACAAATGTGTACTGAAGTTGACCTAGTTATGAGACATACGAAATTGATATTTTTGTGTTAATGGAATTTATGATTGGTATAAAAAGATCTAAACAAACATATACAATCTATCCACACACTCAGAAAGCTCATTAACATACGTATATTTCAAATACACATAGGTGTGTTCTGTGAAAAACAGGAATATTCTTGTTGCTGAAACAACGTCATGAATATGTATGAACCGAAGGGAAACGGTCTTGCGGATTATAAATATGATTCAGTGGGTGTGTATCGGAATAGTCGAAGCACTGGTAAGTTCTACGGTGAAAAACGAAGAAGCAATATCGCGTTGAAACACTACAGCAGCATCCTGGCCGTCCACGCCCAACATGTATTCAAATGGAGATATAATAAACTGTAATTACTTTCTGCAAATAGTGCGTTAATAAACCTATCAAATAAGCGCATTCGCTGCTCCAATAACGAAGCTCACACATATATCTTAATTTTCTTCAGAAATAACATTTTTCAAAAATTTAACATGGATATAATGTGTTTCCTTGGTGCATTTCATTAACGTATCTTCGTATAAACCTTTTACAATTGAATCAAATTAGTAGAAAATGCAAATGACTGTACAAATCATTCAAATCTGTTTAATAAGGTAATTTTTCTTAACAGTTGTCCGCATTATTCAAACCACAATGCCATTTTAGAAGATAAATTTAAGAAGAATGACAAGAAGCATTAATTTATAAAGAAGTTATCTTGCGGCGGTCGAAATTCGCGTGAAGTGGGGTAGTGGACGGGAACCTTTGTCATCCGGCAATCACCGCAGTGAGATCGTTGCGACAAAGCGGTGAGGAGGGGAAACTACAGCAGTTCCATGATTCTGACAAAAAGTACACAGAAACAAACACTAATATTGAATATCAGAAAAAGTAATTTTGTTGTCAAAGATACCGTAACTGAAATATCAAAGCTTCTAGCTCTTCATCTCCCATTAAGTAAGAAACATTTTACGTTTCAGAGAACATGATACTAAATATCATGGAATAGACTCATCCTACTAACATGCCCTACCAGGGACGTTTCAATTTGTTTTAAGATATCAAAGTTAACGTTCACGGCGGTCACAATGGAGAACGTTTTTTCTGAGTTCGATATAAGATCACTCTTCAAACATTAACATTTCATTATTGATCTCCTATTTTCACGATCTAACAATTACTGATAAAAAAACTACATACTGTACTTTAAGAACAATGTGGACTCGATTTCACCAAAAATAAAAATATCTTCCGTTCGAAACTCTCTGCGGTGTATTGTTTACCTTACGATTAATTACCGTTTTTATCCAATAAAATGTTTAATTTGATTTGTTTTCTAGAACAAAAAAGTAAAACATGTATGTGAAGTTGGCTAGAGAAGTATAAACTGCAAACATATTCTTGAGTTTTGAATGTATTTTGGAAAGTTACGGCAATGATTTGAAAATATAGGTGTTGTGATGTGATATCTTTGGCATTTTTCATAAAATAATTAAAGACGTTGTCATAGCCAACAATACTATTTAATGTAAGAGCAGCTTTCGATGGCTTAGCCATCATCATCAGTTGTCTGCTGGATGGGAGACACAAAAATTACTCTTTTTTGACGACGTCGTTTTTGTGTCTCCCATCCAGCAGACAACTGATGATGATGGCTAAGCCATCGACAGCTGCTCTTACATTAAATAATATTGTTGGCAATGACAACGTCTTTAATTATTTTAATGATTTGAAACATTTGGATCAATAATTTAATTTGCTAGGATAAATGCATGGACATTGGCTAATTGCATGGATCAATAAATCAATGTGCTAATTTGCAAGGACCAAATAAACGAGAATGCATTCCACATGATTTATTTATATCCCAATAAGTGGCAGTGTTTCCTTGCCAACTAAATGGGAAGATCCGGCGCTGACGTGCACGGTAACGTGCGGGAGATATTTCCCTCCACGTGTGGGAAATATCGAGGTTCGTGGCTAGCTCTTGGTGAGTGTGCTCGCTTTCCACTACGTGATCGATTTTGGATTCCCGGTCGAGCCGAGACTGTAGTGTTTGTTTGCCTTGCATATGCCCCAGTGTATGTTGCTGTGTGACGATGAGAAAATTCGCTTCTCAAATTGAGAAGACAGGAATACGGCGTAGGGATGTCTACGTGGTAACCACACGTACCCCCTTAACCCACGGCTGCGAGGCAGGGACGTCACCGGTAGGCCTGAGCCCGTTCACGGGCTGTCGCGACAAGTACAAACATACATAGCGGTGCGTGGCCCGTTTATTAGAGTGCTGCTGCGGCATTTACCTGGTATTGATTGAGGATACCACGGAAAACTGCCGAGCAGAGCTGCCAGCAGCTAGAATTCTCCTGCAGACAGCGGTTGAATTCGACCTAGCTATCTGGCTAGTGTCGAAAATACGCCAGAACTCGAAACCTAGGACCTCCCGGTCAAAATCACTGCAGACACAACGGCAAAGCTGGATTTGAGTTAAACTCATCTCATTTCCATGCGAAATAGTACGGGTTCTTGAATATTCAATTCTAGAATGCTCCTAGAGTTCATTACGTACGCCTCATTTTATGACTATTTTTTGGATATATTCCAGTTTGGATATACAGGATGTCCAGGAAGGAAACGTTGAAACTTCGCAGATAAGCTTTTAAGACCATTTTCAGTATATTTTGTCTAATAAACTACTGGGATATTCCGAATGCTTAATCCGCAATAAGCACTCAAAAAACCTTCAAAAGAAACGAATATATTTGTTCAGAAAGAAAAATTAACACAGAATCGAAGAAGCACCCAATTTACGTAATTCAACTGTTTTGTTTTCATTCTGGGTTAATTTTTGTTTTTGAACAAATATATTATTTCCTTTGTAAATAATAAACGATTTACATATTTCTGAAGTGTTTCTATGCTTCTACAATGCAAATGTTTGCCTAGGAAGCATTTTTTCAAACACATTTTCGAGTGCTTATTAGTGTGGCTTAGTCATTCGGAATATCCAAGTAGTTTATTAGACAAAATAGGCTTAAAATTGTCTCAAGAGGTATTTTTTTGTTTGAAGTTTCGATGTTTCCTCCCCAGACACTCTGCATTCATTGGACATCAGTTGCTGTGGTAATAGTAGATTGTGTCTTCACAAAGAGCAACTTCTCCATATATGAGCATGAATTAACCATTTTAATTAACCTAATGGTAAAGCACCCTTGCGATTGTGACCCTGCGTAATATCTCTGATGAAGGTGTTGCACAGTTACTCATTTCCGTCTGTGCGAACTGTCACCTGCGCAGCTCGGACGGCTGTAGCAACAACCACTCTTCACAGAGAGCACGTTCGAGTGCGCTGTTCAAGTTGTTTCAAGAAAATCAACAACAAATCCTTTCAGAGACACAAACCCTTTCAAACCCAAAAAAAGACTTTCGTATTATCACCCATTTCTTCATTGTTGATCTAAACGTTTATAAGGCGTAAAGCAGCTGAAAATATGAAAAACATTCTATAAAATATAATAGTTACTCTGGAGCACGGGCAGGGGGCCATGCCCTCCCCGAAAAGGCTTAGAGATTTCGTTTACCTTCCACTATTTGGCAAAATTGGTTTAAATATTCATTTATATTCGAATTAGTTAACTTTTTAAACAATAATATTGCATAGTGTCATATATACAGTTCATAAATAATATACAGTATAATAACAAATTTGTTTATTATTTGACATAATTTAAACTTACGATGCCTCCCCCTCCCCCCAAGAAAAAGAATGGCTAGATCCGTCGCTGCCCTGGAGCTGAGCAATGGTGGCGGACAGCAGTGTCAGTAGCGTCGAAACTGTGCGCAATAAGTCCCAACGCTGTCGCAACATTCGGAGCAGACGCAGTCGCTCGCAGAGGAGCTCCGCGGACAGTCGCTACGCCCTCGACGAACGGGGCGGGAGGGGACGGCC